TAAACTACAACAGGAACAATCTATTGCTATTTTTTATTTGATTCAGTTAGCTATGAGTAACTTAAATGATTTTATCTCTTTGTAGTCTTTTATCAATTAAGATTACAAGACCATGCTTATGTAATACAAACATTAGCTACGTATTTCGTTTGTCACTCAAAATTCTGTGTTAATATCAGATTGCGTCAACGGGGAGTCAATTAGAGAAGATGTTAGCTTTTATCCATAAGGTAAGGTAGTAGGAGAATTATAAATAGGTATCGTCCCAATGAAAACCATTTCAATCTTCACTTTTCTTTCATACTTCCCAATTTCTACCTTACATGGTGAAAGTGGTCAGACCAATGGTTTAAGGAATTTAAACATGGAATTGGTTATAGTCAACGCTAAAAGGTTTGTGTTCTTTTGCTTTGACTTGCATGCACATTTCTTATTCCCAGGATTTTTCACTACTTTAGCAAAAATGACAATTGAGTTTTTAGAGTCAGGGGAAAGCCTAATACAAAAAGGTTAACCTTTGAGTTATGTCTTTTCTCTTTTCTTCTTCTCTGTTTTTTCCTGTAATACTTGAAAACATGTTCATAAAACACAATGTCTTGTTTAGTAGAATAGTTAGTTTATCCATCAATTTTAATTTATTTGATCACTATTAATTATTTGACTTGTTAAAAATTAAATTCAAAAAATTATTTAAAATAATTTTTTCAATTAGTTTTATAAGAAAAAAAATTATACCAAACAGCTATCAATGTATAATTAGCTGACTCAAATTCCAAAACACTTTTTTACAATCAGTTGATAATATCAACTAATTTATTTTAGAGTAAATACCCAAAATGGTCTCTCGACTATAGCTAAATTCACAAATTGGTCATCGACTTTCAATTTCAACCAATTAAGTCCTTAACTTTGTAATTTTAACACAATTTGGTCCTCTGTCTATTTGACCGTTTGTTGACTGTGATTTTTGAGGATATATATGTAATTTCATGGTCCATTGTCGGTTTTTTAAGGTCCTGGTTGCATTTCCAGACCGCACTGTTACATTTGAATCCACTGCCGAAAGCAATCTACCAAATTCGGTTGCCTTTCTTCATCCTCCCTTTGGATTCAATGTAGTTGAGTTCGTACCAGAGCGAAGAAGACAACGTGTTTCTGAACCAGTGCAACATCATTCTGGAGGCTTCCACGTGCTCCGACGAGAGCTGAAGGATCTTCTGGAGATCGTCAATCACGGTCAACAAACGGTAATAGATGGAGGACCAAATCGTGTCAAAATTACAAAGTTAAGGACTTAATTGGTTGAAATTGAAAGTCGAAGACCAATTTGTGAATTTAGCTATAGTCAAAGGTCCGTTTTGAGTATTTACTCTTTATTTTATAATTAATACAATCAGCTAACATCTAACCGCTATCCGCAAAAGGCCTAAGAGCATCCACATCAGTGGATATTATAGAGATAATGTCAGATGAATTATCTCGGGTGAGGATAATAACAAGTGTGGGGGGAGTTATTGGTGGAGATATTTCTCCTGCAAATTCAAGGAGAATGCAGAAAAAGAAAAAAAGGAAAGAGAAGAAAAAAGAGGGCGCGTGCTTTGGGCGCGTCAGGCGCGCCGTTAGCGCGCCTGACCTTTTTTTTTTTTTTTTTTTAATTTTTGATTTTGATTTTTTTTTTCCTCCCATTCCCACATTCTCTCTCCTAATCACTTTTACATTATCCCCAATTCTCCCCAACCATTGTGGATGCTGTAAAACTGATCCAAAAACATTGGTAATGAGAAAATGGAAGCGGAGAGAGTGCGTGTGGTATGGCGCAGGCATGATATGATGTCCTCGATATGGGAAGCTGGAAGCTTTGCATTTAATGAAAGCTATAATTAGCTGACTCAAATTCCAATAGTCATCATTTGCCAGATTTTTTACTCCAAAACTGTGCTTCACCAACTCACGTCCCTGTCTCTCTTCACACCTAGGTATGTATAGTAATTCGACATTTTTCACTATTTTTTTAATTTAAATGTATAATTTTAGTACTACTGACTAGTTACAATGTAGTATATATCTATATATATATATATATATATTTATTTATTTTTTTTTATATTACTATCATTACAATTACACCAACCACTAACAATGTACATCGTCATCGCTAAAATCTATTTATCTCATCAATTAAAAAATTCATCTAAATTTTTTGTTCCGCAAAAAACTCCAAAAAACCTTTGTTATAGTTGCCCTAATGCATAATACATCCCACATTTTCTTTTGAGTTCTACTACGTATATTCACAAATTTTACTCCCTGGCGAGTTTTGATAAATTATTTTTTTCATGTGAGTCTCAATACAAGTGTCTATATCAAAATTTAGTATATGAAAATAAAAATTGGGAGTATAGAGTGAGATTACCTCTAATATTTTATTATTATTTTTTTGTTTTTTTATTTTCTAAACTTGCATGTTTAGATTTGATAGTTTCGAAGCCTTATAATCATAACTCTTTCATCCTTGATCTGTAAATTTTTGATAACCTCCGGATGTACTTCCTTCGTTACTAATTTCGAATATATATATTAGGGTATACTTGGTGAATAACATAATCGTTGATTATTACGAAATTGTCTGGTAATTATATACTAGCTTTTGAGCTCAGCGATTTCATTTATTTAGTTCACTAGTATTGAGTCACATTTGTACGAAACCGTTTTATAAATCTTTATTTGTGTGATCGATCTTGTCAATATGAAAATATAATATTTATACTGAAAAATATAATACTAATTAAGAATAAAGTGTTTGTCACTCATAATTGAAATTTTAATGTTTTTGATGATAAATGTAATACTTTAACATTTTGATATAAAAATAATACATTTTTCATCAAAAATATTATATTTTTTTTATAAGTAACAAATATTTTATTCATTATTACTATTACATTTTTCAGTATAAGTATTATATTTGATACTGACCCAACTTATCTCACGGATAATAATTCGTGATATGATCTGACACAAGTTTTTGCCACTAGTATTTTATATGCACAATTTGTAAAAATATATGCCAATATTAATATTAACTCATTTTTAAAACTAATAATATGTTGTGTCTATATATATATATATATATATATATATATATATATATATATATATATATATATATTCATAATTGTATAATTTATATTATATATTAAAAGTATAGTTGATAATTTGATTATTGATTATGGTATAATTAATATTATTAAATTAAAAATTTTAGATTTGACAAGTTACTAAATATAATTATGGTAAAAATTATAATAAAAATAATTAAACATGTAACTAATTTATATTGAGTGTCTTACCATTAATTTATATTTATATAATAATTTAAAAATAAAAAATCACTCCTTAAACTAACTAAAATAAAATTATTTTTGAAAACACTAAAAAAAAATACAACTGCAAAAATATACGTTGATATACACTTTTGATTATATGTTGTGCAATCAGTATATATATACTCACTTCTGGAAATTCTGAAATTTCCGACCACCTGAAAATGATCTTAAATCAAGTTGAAAGTCTTGTTCCGACCACTTTTGGTATCCGGAAAAACCTTTGTTGCTATTTCCGACCACTTTTTGGGCTTTTTGGTATCAACTTAATTTAAGATCATTTTTAGATGGTCGGAAATTTCAGAATTTCCAGTAGTAACTGGTCTATACCTTAATTCTTTTATAAAAGATTATATCTAAAATATAACATGTTATTATATAATGACTCTTATTTGAGATTGTCTCAAATATTTTTATTTGTAAGATAAGTCGGGCCATATATATACTTATGAAGTTATGATGAAAATGATAATACTAATAATGAATATATTTATGAGCGAAAGTGCATTTATTTATAATAAAAATGTAATACTTTTAAATTAATATATAATATTTAAGAAAAAAATTATTTATGCAACAAAAAAATATAATATTAATAATGTTAAATTAATTAATGATTATTTATGAGAAAAAATGCATTGCTAATTCATAAATAGAGTTTTTTGCACTTTTGGTCCCACGACTATGATGTCACTAACAACTTTAATCCATGACTTTTAAAATTTGTAAAATTTGTCCACGATTATGACTTTCTTTGCAAATTTGGTCCTTCCGATGCATTTTTCGTTCAATTTTTGTCGAAAAAATTTACTCCCCATTTTAACATGGGTAATATTGCCATTTCCATCTCACAAACTAATGACATAAATAAATAAATAAATATACAGCTAAAAAAATTTGGCGTTTAGTAAGGAGGGTGAAACTGAAAGTGAAATTGAAATTGGGTGACTTTTAATTTCAATCATCGTACCACTGGCTATGTTTAATTTATTTATTTATTTATTTATTTATGTCATTAGTTCGTGAGATGGAAAATATAATATTATTCATGTTAAAATGTGGAGTAAAATTTTACAGCAAAAAGAACCAAATTTGTTAAAAAAGTTATAATCATGGATCAATTCTACAAATTTTCAAAGTCGTGGATCACAGTTGAAAATTTCTTCATAAATAAGTTAATTGTATACTGAAGAGGCGAAGAGCAGTAGATACTAGACCATCATCATAATTCTATATATATACTACTAGGATTATGCTCCATATTTATTTGTATCGTCCATAAATAATCTCTTCTACTTACACTGTTCCCAAATAATCTCTACTTAGATACATTTATACAAAATCGCTTACTGTCTCTTTTCGATCTACACGTAGAAATACACTCATCCCTTCTGATTTTCTTCTGAAACTTTCTGAGTTGCTGTTTTTTCATGTCTCTCTTCTTTGTGTTTATACTCTGATTTTTTTTGTTCTTTTAAAATTTTTATATATCAATACAAGATTTTCAAGGAGTTTCCACCAGTTTCCAGTTTGCTTTCTTTGTAGTTTCCCTTAGTTCATCTCCCTCTCTCCCCCTCTCTGTGTGCTTGGTTTTCTATCTCAAACTTCAAAGCTCTTATGGCGACTTCTTTGAACCCTCTAGCGGAAGAATGGAGGCCACAAGGCCTTTCTTCTTGTTCTCCTCTCCTTACGTATCTCCCGCACAAAATCATACTGCCGCCGCCGCCGCCGCCACCGGTTGTTGGATTTTCTGCCGCCCAGGGGTTGGCGCCACAGTGGCATCATTTTTACCATGTACCGTACGATCACTTCTCTCTGCACCAGTCTCAGCCTGATGGTGGCCCCGCCGCCATCAAGAAGGCTGCGCCGCCTCCACCCATCACCCGACGAAGAGACTTGAAGAAACTGGCTCTACCTCCCAGACTGAGGGCCACAGAGAGGAGCAAAATATGGAGACGAAAGGTGAAGCCCGAAGGAGCTTCCGCCGCCGCCGCCGACCGGGGTGATTCATCCTCTCCGGTGTCTGGTAAAACCACCGTCATGATCCGAAACATCCCCAATCAATATCAGTGAGTCTTTCATCTTTAAAGTTTCAAGCCCTCTTGGTGGTTAGATTAATGAGTTTCAAATACAGGAAGGTTGCAAAAAATATGTTTAAAAAAATCAAAACCCTTTTCAGAAATGAAGGGTTTTTCAAAAGGTTATTACCAGTTTTTGTCTTTTAACTTTCCATTGATAAAGAAAGATCAATTTTGGGAGATTCTGAGGAGACTAACTTGTCCATTCTAGTGCTAGACATATACCCAATGTTTTAGCATAGGTTATTCTGAGTAGCAGTCTATCTCAGCCTTATTGTCTAGCCACTGAAGAGGCCATAGCAAAAGGGAAGTTATTGCACTTTCTCTTCACTGTCTGTCCCTATCCCAGTGCATCAGTGCTAAAATCATTTTTGCCTTTTGCTATTCTCTTCCTCATTTATTTCCATTGATATATATATATATTTATTAGCTTAGCATTTAATGCTCTTAAAAGTTTTTATTTAACTGGAAATCTCCATTTTCTGCTAAAATATGGGTGCATTAAAACCTACCTGGTTTAGCAACTGTTTTCATTCACATTCATAAACTAAAAAAATCTTGCTTTCGTTGTGATGTGTTCAGGAGGGAAAGCTTTATGGCATTTCTTGATAAGTATTGCATCGAGAGCCACCTGCAGTATGATTTCCTTTACCTCCCAATGGATTTTAAGTGAGTTCTTTTCCCTTGAAGCTAGTGAATCTTCATTAAATTAAAGCAATCAAGAGATCAGATGAGTAGTCTTCTGATTTGAGCTATTTTTATTGTTTTTCCACCTTTTTTTTTGTGGGTTTCGAAGGACAAACAACAATGTAGGATATGCGTTCGTGAACTTTACTACTGCAGCAGCTGCTGCAAAGATCCGTGAGGTTCTTCAGAACCATTCATGGGGTGTGTTGAGAACTACAAATGGTTTTTTCACTTCCAAGAAGATATGTGCTGTTACCTGGGCTCGAATCCAGGTATCTAAAGAGCTATTTTTGACTTGTAGATAAACAAACCATCCATCTTGGACAAGATTATCTAGTAGCTAATCCTATTTAAGGTGGTTTGTTTGTTTTTGATGTAAGATATTCAACACTTTCTGATTTTATGCTTAAAATTTTCAGGGTAGAAGGGAACTTGTTAAACATTTCCAGAAATCGAACTTCGTGTGCTCCAGGCCAGACTTCCTGCCGGCGGTGTTTTCTCCACCGCGGAACGGTTTCCGTGATGGTTCTGAACCAAAGCCCATCGGAAACCTGATGGGTAATGTTCCTTCTCCTCCGAGTAAGGCCTGACTGGCTTTCCTTTGGTTGACTTACGTTGTTGTAGGGGCTATCTATGTACAGTCTGAGTTTCTTTGTTGTTGTTTAGGGGTTTTAATTCATCGTTTTAGGTAATGTTTGTGTGTGGCCTGTGTTTTGGTTGTCAACCTGGGTTTGACTTAATCCGGGGTGAAATGGAAACACAGACCTTATCATCTGTACTGGCATGTCTGTCTCCTAAACTTGAATGTATTTCCTTTGCTATTATAATCTAACTTTAGTGATCTTCTTCAAATACTTGCTTTGTTCAATCTTCCATGGCCGTTCATTCATGTTCGGTTTGTTCAATGCAAAATCAAAAACTCAACTCTGCACTAATTAAAAGGATGAAGTATTTGTTGGGAATCTACTAAATAGATAGATGGTGATGGAATAAAAGAAGGGAAATATAAGTAAGGATTGAAATGGGTATATATTGGTTTAATTTTACAAAGGATTGAGGGTGTATTAATGTTACTTTCGTAGTCTAATGTTAGGCCGAATCAAAAGACCGGGATTGTTTCATTCTTGTGAAGTTACCCATTTCTTTCAATGAGTTCAAGTAGTTTTAAACTTGAACATTATTTGCTTTCGTAGTTGAGTTGAATTTAAAAGTTGTACGATGTTTTAGAGAAATTGGGAATTGAGAGATGAGTTTTAAGATATGTTAACTCGTGAGCGACATACTCAAATTGTTGTCTAAATGTCCACTGTCCATACTCAAATAGTTGTTTAAATCTTACTATCATATTAGGGGGAATTAACAAGAATGATGAAAGAAATAGCAAAATTAAAATTCGCAAGTTGACAAGTGTACTCAGAGGGGAAGATAGTGAAATGAAAGATATGCATAGGATGGAAAGCTAGGGTTAGGGCAACTAGCAATCGTTATATCGTTGATCAGAGCGCACAATTAGGGATGATAACAGGACGGGGAGTATACTTCTCGTCGCCGAAACAGTGATCTCGAACCTGTCCCATTTCTGAATAGGGAGGGGTTTCCCTGTCCCTGTAGGGGCGTGGACCGAGAATTCCCATCAGGGACGAAGAAAATTGACATCCCTATGCACAATGCATTGTGCGCCCTGTCCAAAACGATTTCGTTTTTATATTAAGAGTTTAAGTGCATTCTGTTAAGAGTTTATGCGTATTTTACTATACAATTCTGTACATTCAAAATTAGATTTGTTTTTTTAAATTATCGACAGAAACGGGAAATAGAATTTCTAAAAAATAAATATATACAAAACAACATCGTTTTAGTCAAGACTTACTATGCATTGTACGCACTGGTGGAATGGTGCACGATATAATTTGCCGGCAACTGGAAGGAACAACAAACATATGGGTTGGGCCAGTGATGACAAGCCTATTAACACAGGAATACAAAACATAACATAATCACATGTTTTGGGCAAAAAGTACATTTATAATATTATAAATGTACATATATTATAAATGTACATTAGTTTTATACTGAATGTACATTATATACAATATAATATACACTCAAAACAAAAATAATGTATATCCTTTGAATACAATATAAACTATTTTTGTATAGAATGTACATTATTTTTGTACTGAATATACATTATTTTTCAGTAGATAAAATATGGTCCACACAACTGGTATGGATCATGGTCCACACAATAATAATAGCATGTTTTAAACCTTTTTATTCTATTTCTACAGTAAACTACTCACCTATAATAAAAAAGTAAATGGATAGTGGTTGTGTTTTTAAATTGCAACCAAAAAAAAAAAAAGGAACGCGTCCTCAATTTAAAAAGTAAATTGAAAAAAGAAAAACAACTCACTTAAAAAAAGAAAACAAAATATTTTAAGAAGAAAAACGATGCATCATAACAAGAAATATGATGCACCTAAAACTTTAGATTGGTGTACCTTAAGAAGGAAATCACACACCTAAAGTTTTAAGCCGACGCACATTAAGTTTCAACAACTGACGCACTTTAAGCACACAGACCATGCATCTTAAAAAGGAAAATCACGCACCTAAAGTTTTAGACCGACGCACCTTAAGCACACAGTACAAAAATCACGTACTTTAAGAAGGAAAATCACGCATCTTAAGAAAAAAAAACCACACACCTTAAATTTGACCTAGATGCAAAACGATCCTATTACCACCGTGTTTTTTTTTTTAAAATTTGTGTTCAATCGGGACTGTTGATTTTGATTATATCAAGGGTTGAGATTAAACCCAATCTCTGCACCTGAAACCTATTACCACATTCGATCTCTATTTTGATTAGATCAATTAATTTATTTGATCATACACTTGCTTCGGCGGCCTACTCTCAGGCTAACGGGTCAACGTCACGAAACATAACAGGTTCTTAACGGGTCAACCCGTTAACGACCCGGGACACGTTAAAATTAAACACTAACTTGTTATTTTTGTGTCCGATTTCGTGTCGTTTCCATAATTGCCAGGTCTAATCATAGAAGTGTTAATATCATACTACTCCACATCAATACTCCCGCTCTTGTATGCATGAGATCCACTTCCTACACCTCAACTATTATTTTTTATTGCATATATATTATATTTATATTCTAAATAAAGTTAAAAATAAAATTTGATTTGAAGTAAAATAAAAATACTAGTAAAAAAATTAATGATAAAACATATCACAAAAAATTGTAAAAATAATTTATTTTTAAATAAATTAATTATAGGTTTTTTTTTTTAAAAAAAATTTAATAATTGCATGCTTTATTGCATATATATTATATTTATATTCTAAATAACGTTAAAAATAAAATTTGATTTTAAGTAAAATAAAAATACTAGCAAAAAAATTAATGATAAAACATATCACAAAAATTGTAAAAATAATTTATTTTTAAATAAATTAATTATAGGTTTTTTTTTTTTTTTTTAATTTAATAATTGCATGCATCAGACGGTCTTTGAAGTGTTCAGAGTTTTGAGTTTTGACACACTGACAAATACGATGTTAGCTCTTTAAGCTTGTCATAAGTACAGTTTATATACTTATTGATTGGAAGAAAACTCAAACGATATGATTACTTGGAATTAAGTGTAAGTTAATTGCAATTAGTCGATGTCGTTACAACTTACAAGCATTTGAGATCGATGCTTAATTAATATGAATTCATTTGCTCGATCGATCGGATTCAAAGCAAATAAATTAAATTCATTTGCTCTCACGCACGTATATATCATTCTTATTTATATGTGCGAGTAAACCTTAACATGCAAATACTATCTAGTGTTTGCTTTTCAAGAATAGTAATTGAACAGATTTTAATAGCAACAGACCGAATATATATATAGTGTTGATGAAATCAACTGTACATGCAAGCACGCATATATAGGAATTGAAAGACGAGTACAAACGAAACATTGGTTCAAGCTAAATGGGAATATATATATATATATATATATATATATATATATATATATATATATATATATATATGACATGTAAATACTATATGTATAATCAATATCATGAACACACTGTAAATATTCTGAGGATGCCGGAGAACATATATATGCGCGCTTAAGCAAGCGTTTAAGAACTCGATCATGGCTTTGGAATTTCAGGGACTTCAAGCTTTGGAATGGATGGAAACTCCGGTTTTGGAATTTCTGGGAATTCAGGCTTTGGAATGGATGGCAGTTCAGGTTTTGGAATTTCTGGGAATTCAGGCTTTGGTAAAGTTGGTAGCTCAGGTTTTGGAATTTCTGGGAAGGTTGGTATTTCAGGTTTAGGCAATGTAGGGATATGAGGAAAGGGGAGGTCAGGCAAGGTTATTTCCAGGAGGTTTCTGGCCTCGGTTTGAACCATGTTCACCACTGCAGGGGATACAGTGATGAGGAAAAGCAAGAGAAAGGATGGGTTGAGATGATAATGAGGCATTCTTGGTGAATGGGGGTTGGGTTTTCAGAAGATTATGAGATGAATGGTGTAGTGAAGAAAAATGTTTTGTTTTGTCAGCTTGGGTTGTATATATCTTGGCAATTCAAGTTTATATAAGAATTGGGATGTGGAGAAGTGGGGTTAGTTGGTAGGAAGAAATATGTGTTAGATCAACTTCTCAACAACACTAATATGAAATAGTCCGGGTGGGTAGCTAGTGTTCTTTAATTTGTGGTTTGAAAATTATGTTCTCCCAAAACATGTGATTTATTGTATATTTAATTGGCATGCTAGCTTTAGTAATAATAAGAAGAAGATGAACTAACTCCTGGTTTAGTTTAAGAGTTAATACCCAAAATCCTCATCGACTATAGTGGTTTTTCTCAATTTCGTCCTAAACGATTTTGGTAACCTAATATCGTCCCAGACTTTTGTGTTTCGCTCAATTTAGTCCTCCATTTGTTATTCCGTCAAATTGGTGTTAAATAAAGGACAATTCAGTAATGTCAATATTGATCTCTCTTTACTTTCAACTTGTGAAGTGCGAAATTCCTCTTTCTTGTACGAATTACACCCAGAATTACTCTCGGACCTGCAAATCAAATTTTATATTCGCAGTTTTAGGAGTAATTCTGGGAGTAATTCGTAAAAAAAAAAAGGATTTCGCAGTTCACATGTCTATGAGTAAAGAGATACCAATATTAAAATTACTAAATTGTCTATTTATTTAACACCAAATGGACAGAATAACAAATGAAAGACTAAATTGAGCAAAAACACAAAAGTCTGGGACTAAATTGAGCAAAACACAAAAGTCTGGGACGATATTAGGTCACCAAAGTCGTTTAGGACGAAATTGAGAAAAATCACTATAGTCGAGGAGGATTTTGGGTATTAACTCTTTAGTTTAATTAATTAGTTACGTGGATTAGCTTGATTGCTTGCTTGCTTTTGGGCATTGTATGGTTCAAACTTCAAATCTATGGTAAGTCTGCATTGGATTCAAGAAGCATTAAAGGTAGTGATGAAGCCTGCACTTTCTTTGTAGTGCCATGATCATGGAATTTGTATTTTATTTATTTTTTGATAAATTAGGTTTTTCAAATTGACCAAGACTATGTGGTCTAATGGTATCCGGGTTGGACTTCCATTTGGAAGGTTACGAGTTCGAGCCTCAGTGGAGGCGTTATTGGTTCTTGAACAGATACTACAATGTAATAGGGCCAATAACACTCAAAAAAGGTTTTTCAGATTGAGCCAAACTAATCTTAAGCACTAAACCTGTGCTTAAGAGTTCATGGAAGAAGTAAATAATGAGTCGTCTGAGCAGCCCTTCAATTCCAATTAAATAAGGGCGGTTGATAATTTTGAATAAACAAGTTTTGCATTTTTCAGAGAACACACAATATATACATAGGGGAGAGATGTTTTCCAGGATTTGCGGCGATGCTTTACTTTTTCCTTAGAAGCTAAGAGCCCGTTTATTTCAAAAAATTGATTTTTATTTTTCTTCTAATTTTTCGGTTTTTATTCTCTATTTTTATTTAGAAATCTTGTTTAATTATCAACATTCATTTATTTATTTTTTAGACTATGTTATAAAATTAACATAAGTTTAATTTTGAGTAATTTTTAAACCTTATGTTTAAAATATTTTCGAATATGTTTAGTTTAAATGAAATATAATAAATATAAATTTTAATTTTAAGTCTCGTATATGTTAGATTTTTACATTTGATATCAATACTAAATTTATATTTATATATAAAATTACTAAATATATAACCTATTAAGTTCACCTAAAATTTAGTTTAGATAATATTAATATGTTTTGAGTTAATATTTATAATATTTTTGGATATATTCATTTGAATGATATATATATATATATATATATATATATATATATATATATATATAGAGAGAGAGAGAGAGAGAGAGAGAGAGAGAGAGAGAGATGCACTCAGGTGCAAATAAGTGTCCACGAAGAAATATGCGAACAAATCAGCGCGCGACACGTGTCCAGATCTAATAACTTAAAAAAAAAAATATGATGGCATTTTCGTAAATAATTGAACATCGAAGTGCAAGTAAAATCACTTACAAGTGCACCTACTTTCACCTATAAGTGCATGTAATTTTGTCTTGTTAGCATTCACTTCCCGCAAACATTCATGCACTTGGGTGTGCTTATAACTATAGGTGCAACTATTTATAACTATAGGTGCAACTACTTATAACTATAGGTGCACCTACTTTCACTTATAAGTGCATGTAATTTTGCCTTGTTAACATTCATTGTTCTGAGTTCAGCGGGCAGTAATACCCCTGAAAACCACCCGCAAACATTCATGCACCTAGGTGCAACTACTTATAACTATGTATGCAACTACTTAGAACTATAGATGCAACTACTTATAACTGTAGGTGCACTTAGTATTGATACTCGGTGTAAATTTTTACTTGCACCTATGATACATTTTATATGCACTTGTAATACATTTTACTTGCACTTCGATGTTCAATTATTTATAAAAATGCCACCGCGTTTTTTTTTTTAAAAAATCAGTGTTTCTCATCCATTAGATCTGGACACGTGGACGGACAGAATCTATTCCTATTTCGCTCCTGGCGAAGCATTCGCACCTGAGTCCGATTCTATATATATATATATATATATATATATATATATATATATACTTTGACGTCTAATATGTGCGATACCTCAATGTCAAATATCTGAACCAATAATCTATTGAGTTCAATCAAAATCTAAAATTTGGGTGTAGAGTTAACGTTTTAATTTTGATAATGTGAATAATTTCTAACTTTAAGCGTAAGCAAATAAGTTATGTGTATATAATAAATGCGTGTAGAAAAAAAAGAAGAAAATGATAAGTAAAAGAAGACGATAATGAATGTAATCATAATAATTAATAAATATATAAGTAGATAATGGTGAGGATATAGTTATAATGATATATAACTAAATAGATAATTCTGCTTTTTAGAGTACTCGAGTCGTAAGAATATAGTTTTAGTATATTAATATGTAACTTATATTCAGAGAAAATAAATTATTTAAGTATTAAATGTATATTATTTTGTGTAATGTATATTCAATACATACAAATAATGTACTTTTAATACATTAAAAATGTTTTTTTTTTTATTTTTATTTTTATAGTTCACTTAAAAATTTGCCATATGCCCATATGTGAGAGAGTCTTGTACAAGTTATTGTCCATGAGAATATAATTAGAAGTTGATAATATTCGGGTCGGGCACCAAATTTCCTTTACCAAAGGATAAGAGAATTAATTGGCATCATCCTTCAATTCTATCTCCTCCCTCTTATCTTCTGCGATGGCGCAAGCGCTAGCAACTCCAGTTCTGCCATCACTCTCCATTATCACCAATGCCCTCCCCTCCTCCAACCGAAAGACCTCTCTCTCCTTCCCCATTTCAACTTCTCCAAAGGTCAAGAACCAAATCCATCGCAATTTCTCTTCTTTTTCACTAACCAAACGACGGGTTTTCAGTTTTCTTTAATTCATTTTCTTGAAAATTTCATTGTTTTTTGGCAGATTGGGGGTTTGAGCATCAAGTGCGTGCGTGTGGGGGGAGTGGAGATACCCAACAACAAGAGAGTGGAGTACTCGCTGCAGTACATCCATGGGGTTGGGCGCAGCAGAGCAAGACAGATACTCTCCGACATCGGCATGGACAACAAGATCACCAAGGAATTGTCCCAGGAGGAGCTCATTACTCTCCGTGACGAAGTCTCAAAGTACATGATTGAAGGCGACCTCGTAAATTCCCAATCCTTACATTTTATTTCTAGTTTTTGTTATACCTAATTTGATATTTTTGTCTTGCATTGATTTCGGGTATCCCTATCAGTTTGGATTGGGTATATTAGGAGGCTGTGTTTTGAATGAATGCAAGTTACAGATGAACTAAGTAAAAAGAGATAGGTTAACCCAGAGTGCAATGTTTTCATTAGTATAAACCCATAAAGGAAGGTTTTTTAGAAATTGATTGTAGGGTCTATGGCAGCAATGGTAGAGCCAAAGTTTTGGAATTGCTTTAGTTGAATTTGATACAGCCAGCAATGGAAATTCTCACTTTTGAGGGTATTTGAAGAAAAAAAAACCCGAAAACTTTCATGAAGGTTTGTGGTGTAGAATGGTGTCTTGTTGTTTATGGTGGCTATAGCTAGGAAAATAAAAAACTATAGAGCTTCACTAATTGTTGCATTCCTTCTGGAGTCAAGATTAGTTGCTGGGCAAATGCCAATTTTGATCTCCGATCCCTGTTGCCTGTTTTGATCATTGGTGGAGATGTATGGACGAATTAGAAAATTGGAGATTTGGTTTTATAGGGTGATTGAGAAATGATTTTTTACGTTCAACATTCTTGCACATACCAAGCATGTGTGAATTCCTGTTCACATGTGACTAAAAAGTTAATTGCGAGATTGAACATTGACCCATTCTTGAATGTGGAGCACCTAGTGTACCAACTGATGAGAACAAAACAGTAAAAAAACGGAAGAAGTCTGAGAGAAAGAATCTAACTTTATAATGCAGTTTTAGATACTTGTGAGTTGTGAGTTATAATATGCTGAACCTAACTAAAAGTGGTATAGTGCTAAAAGAGCAATCCTGAATAGTACTGTAGTTTTCTGAAGAACTTTGAAACCAAGTTAGATGCTACTCCCTCTGTGTCATTTTATGTGTTTGGTTCGGTTAACAAGACTTAATTGAAGTTATTTACAATTCAATTTTGTAAACATGACAGATAAAATGGAACAGAAAGATTAGTACTTTTAGTGTTCATTCAGGAACCTTTTGGCCATTACTTTTAATGGAACATGTGATTCTGCGTATATTTTGTTCCTCAACTTCTGACATTTAAATGTCGGAACTTGTAAGCTTTGTACTTTTTACTCTTTGCCTTGTGTTGGCTAAGGTATCATTAACTCGGTTGTGGTATACCATATTAATGCTCTTGAATTCTTGATTAGTATCCTCGAGGAACTGCATTGATTTTGCTTTGTTTTATTGCATAACTTTACTTGAACTAACATAAGACGATGGTTTTTGGAATGTGTTGTTTAGAGGCGATTCAACGCCCTTGCGATTAGGAGGCTGAAGGAGATTCAGTGCTACAGAGGCATAAGACACATTCAAGGATTGCCATGCAGAGGACAGCGGACGAAGAACAATTGCCGTACTCTAAAGGGCAAGAAGGTGGCCATTGCAGGGAAGAAGAAAGCACCTCGTTAATCCGAACTAGATTCTGTAACTGACTTGTATCAATGCCTGTTGCGAAAATGTTCATTGATAATGTATGACCACCTTTATTTCATTGTATCCAAATTTCAAATTTGGATATTTTCTTGGCCCTTTCTTTTTTGTTTGAATGATGTAAAAACTCAATTTTAAACATTTGGGTGCACCACTATTGGCAAGAAGGCCTCAAATAGCTCATATAAGAGGATGTAGTGTATTGGCTAATATTTATTTATTTTGAAGATATTCTTAATTGAAAATATATAATATATTAATTGGTCTGCGTTGTGTGAGCATTGGTCGATTATGGTCAATCACCGATTAATAACGAGAATAATCAATATCTATTATTTAGTCTTCATAATTGACCAAAATGGATCAATAATTTAGATATAATCGACTAAAAACATAATTTCAATTTTAGGGTCAGTTATGTAAGGTGGCATCCGAGCTTTAGAGGACCTTCAACAAGTTGTGAAAATAGTTATGAACAGAAACTCAACGGTGGTTTTTTAATATCCACAACTGACTCACCAAATAACCGATTTTTTTTAAAAAAACTAATAATTGTTGACTGACCTAAAATATTTTAAGTCGATTAAGTTATCGGTTATCGATTTTATTGGTTTTTCGTAATTATGCTCACCTCTAGTATATGATATATAGTTTGGGCCATATTAGTTGTCTTAGTTCGCTGCCCTAAATTGGGCCAAACAATGTAGACTGGTGCACCCTTATATGAACATTGCGTCCTTATAGTAGACCTTAGGCTTATCAAGAACTGGATGAATTCGGCCTATTAAGAACACTATTGTGGGCTTTCAAGTGAGGAAACAATATAAAGTTTTCTTTGGAGCCCAGGAACCTCATTTTCTAAATTGTTTACAATAAGTTTGAGTCTTTGAATCCTCAAGGATCAAGGCTTTGATATTGTAAATTGTTGCAATGGACAACTTGCTGTATATTGCAATATTCATTCATTAAAGTTAAATTAAGCAATATTTTTTAAGTGACAAGGGAAACTTGCTGTTACTATCTAAGAGTGTGCACTATGTAAACTTCACTCTTGTATAATAATCTGCAAACGAGGTAAATTACACTATAAAAATTTTTGAGTGACAGATTCAACTGAGACAAGAATTAAACTTGTGACATTCCAGTACAGAATCATATTGTACCCATTCGACATCTTTTGAGAATTGAATGCCATTGAACAATGTGAGCAGAACTGGTGCAACAACTACCAGCTAGTAGACATTACAACATCTATCAACTGTTGCAAGACAATATGATTGCACCTTATGTTGGAAGTGTAATAACCCCACTTTTAGGTGGTGTTCAACCATAAATTTCTGGATGATTTGTGGGCTAATAAATAGTGGATTGAAAGAAAAATTAAAATAGAATTGAAAGCCACTTTCAAATTAATAATTATAATAAGAAAGAAATGGTTGTGGACTGTCTCCTTGTAATGGTGCCTTGTGTTGGACATGATGGAGACCTTGTTATTCTTTTTTAATGGAATTTTGACTTCTGCAATTTTAGCCATCAATTGTTAGGTTCATTGCTGCTCCTGTCTTCAATATAGTGTTTTTACTATTTATATTTGTTTGAAAATTTGATATAAAATTGACATGTATGTCGCAATTTTAAAACATTATATTGATCAACTAGGTCCATTAATGATTTAGGTCGAGTTAGAGTATATTCGAATTTTCTTTAAGATATGAACATTATATATTTATATGGTCAAAATGGTTAATAGGTGAACGCGTATTCAAGTGTTAGAAGACATTTGGTATTTTTTCATCAATTAAATTCATAGGGAAGTAATTTTAAGTAATTCTTTGTATACAATTCGGAGATTAAGGCTAATTGTTTATGGAAATGAGTTATTTTGGCTGGTCTTGAAATAAAAAGACAGTTTTTGTCCTCACTTTTCATGGAATTTGCAAGTAACAACATCATAGAGTAGTGTAACAATATAAAGTACACTTAAACTTTGAAATGTAAATAAATTACTTGGACTCTATAGTGTAAATGGTTGCACTTTATAGTGCTATTACTTGCACACTTGCACCTGAACTTTGAAGTGCAAGTAATGATACTACACAGTGCAGTTAACAATAACATAGAGTGTAAAAATATAAAATACACCCGAGTAATAATATTAATTACACCTAATGTTATAATTAATTGCATTGTAAATTACTTGCACTCTATAGTGTAAATAGTTGTACTTTATAGTGATATTAGTTGCACACTTTACTTACATATATATATATATATACTTACATGTTTATTTGCACTTCAAAATTTGAGTTATTTATAAAAATGACACCATATTTTTTAAATTAATTCTAATCTGTTAGATCTTTCTAGATGAACCTCATATTATTTTCTAGTTCTCTCGTGGCTGATATTGCTTAAATCAACGTCCACGATTACCATTTTTCTAAAAAAAAAAAAAAAAAAAAACGCCGTGGTAATTTGATAATTTTTGCTTCTAGGTTAAATTTAAGGTGTGTATGTTTTATGCTTGATGTGCGTGAGTTTTATGCTTAAGGTGCGTGGAGTTTGTGCTTAAGGTGCGTTGGTTTTATGCTTAAGGTGCGTGGGTTGTGTGCTTAATGTGAGTAGTCGTTAAAACTTAAGGTGCTAGGTTTTTTTTCTTAAGGTTCGTGAATTTTGTGTGCTTAGGGTGCGTGAGTTTTGTACTTAAGGTGCGTCAGTTTTGTGCTTAATGTGAGTAGTTGTTGAAACTTAAGGTGCATTGTTTTCCTTCTTAGGGTGCGTGATTTGTATGTTTAAGGTGGTGCGTCAGTTGTGTAAAACTTGAGGTGAACCATTTTAAAACCTTAGGTGCGTGGTTTGTATGCTTAATAAGGTGCTTTGTTGTGTGCTTAAGGTACGTGGTTTGTGTTCTAAAAGCTGGTGTTTTGTTTGTGGGTTTAAGGTGCGTAGTTTGTGTATTTAAGGTGCGCCATTTTAATGCTTAAGGTGCGTCATTCGCACAACCGCACGTGAACCCTTATATATATATATATATATATATATATATATATATATATATATATATATATATATATATATATATATATATATATATATATAATGTTTTTTTTTTACTTTTTAAAATATGTGAAATATATTGGTAGACGATTTTTTTTGTACTGTTGGGTAGTGTTGAAATTAAATGTTTCCCAACAAACATTTTGGCAGGGGATGATGGCAAGTTTATGAATTTGTGTCTGTAAAAGTGATGACCAAGCTAAGGTAGGAATATGTGAATTGTGTCAAATAATCCACCACCTTCAATTCGTTTCGTACTGCATGTGAAATGTCTGCAACTCTGATCTGCATAATTTTCCCAACAAAAACATAACATCAAAACAACAATAACCTTTTCTACACGCAAACATGGATGTTTTGTTATAGCCGGAGAAACGTTCTAGCTATATATATATATATATATACAGCTTCAATTCATTTATAATATTTTGGACTGACAATTCATGTTTGTCCCTGTATAATTGTGTGGGCTATGGTGTGCGATCGATACATACAACCTTTGCATATATCAGACAAACTGATTACTAATAAATACTGCATTGGCTCATAATAAAGTTGTGAAAGACACCATAATGAACGTGGCTTATATGCTCAACTTTTGAAGAAGTGGCTACTTTGTCCAACCATTATTATTGCACCACGTACACATACTTCCGAAGATATTAATTGACCAATTCCAATCGATTCATTGCTTTAATAGTTGACTTGATAACCACAATATTTAAAGTTAAATTTTCGTTGGAAGTTATCTACAATCGTTATGCCATGAAACCGTGTTCACCATCTATGGTGAACACGGTCCCAAACGGTAACGGTGCCTACGGGCACCGTTATCTTCCACCAATTTTATTTTTATTTTTAACAGCGCGACTTTTCTTCTTTATATTCACATTTTGCAGTTTCACTTCCTCCTCGCGCAAGTTTTTCAACACTCATAAATTATGAATGTGCAGGCATGGATTTATGAATGTACTGTTATGAAATTATGAATTTTCTTTTATGAGATTATGAATTTTCTGTTATGAGATTATGAATGTACAGAAAATTCATAAGTACATAACTGTAAATTCATAATCTCATAACAGAAAATTCATAATTTAATAAATGTAAATTTATAATCTGAACATAGAATGCAAAAAGCCGTTAACAGCACATTAACTAATTTTTTTTCTAGTAAAAACGATGCCGTTTGGGACCGTGTTCACCAAGCATGCTGAACATGGCATAATTTGCGCGTTATCTATTGGCCAGCTTTTTTTATTTGAACCGACCAACTATGACCAATCTAGGTTAGTTTACACGTTCGAGTAGCGGCTACAACATTTTCAGTAAATAAAAATATTAAATCTTGTATTATATTATATGATTTTTGATAATTTTATCAAATGTCTTTATATTTACTGACTACAACAAATAATTTCATACAAACGATGTTATTTCTTTTAACAATAAGGGTCAATTAAGTCCTTAATTTAAGACATTCAAAAAAAAAAAAAAGTCCTTAATTTAAGAAAGTGCAATTAGACTCTGGAATTTATTTATTTTTTTAAAGAACTCAGATTAAACACCAAAATTTAGAAAAAAAATAAAATAAAAAATGCAATTAGTCCATTTTACCATATTATTGTAGGTAAACTTCATGTTAAAGGTGATTGAAATGCACTAACATGAAAAGGTGATTGGTCTTCATCCCTAGTTGTGCATTCCAATTACCTTTAACCTTAATTTTACGTTCAATAACATGTTAAAATGAACTAATTACATTTTTTTCTAAGTTCAAATATCTCATTGAAATTTTTTAATTTGAAGACTTTTTTTTTTTGAATACTATTGACTCTATTACAAGGTAGTATCTGCTCTATACTTTCTCTAATTAAGTATTAGAGCACAAAGAGTTAATTCTCTACCACCGGAGTTCGATCTTGTGACATTCCCTTAAAGGAAGCCACAGAGGTGTCATCTGAACACAACGTACTTGGCTTTAATTTGAAGACCTAATTACACTTTTCTAAATAGTTCATGGTTAATTTACCCTTATTATTTTTCTCATCTGCATGGTTAATTGCACTTTACTCGAGAACAATGCTATATAGATTATAGACAACTTCTT